TGCCTTCTTCATATTTAAAATGAAGGCTAGCTCATTTATCCTGGCTATTGAGGGAATCTTTCCTTGCCTAGAGCTCAAGGACCATTTTATTATTATTATTATTATTATTATTATTATTATTATTATTATTATTATTCCCCTTCTGAAAGCTAAGATCACAAAAAAGAAAAGTCTTGAATTAGGATATCAACTCTGATTAACTTGACTGATGGCCCTACTGCTGGAAAAAAAAAAGAGTGAAAACTTCCCTGATTCAATATACTCTTCCTGTCTTGTCTGAACAATCTAAGTCAGCGCTGCAGAAGGGGATTTCTTGGTAACACACTGTGAAACATCCACTTACTTCTCTTTATTTACCCTTCCTTCTATCCACATTACTTATGAGCTTATTCCTATAGCCCTATTTGTAAGTCCCTTAAAGCAAAAGATCTTTCTTTATGAATCAATTAGTATAATGCATGCTTTTAGCATTATGTGAACTGCCATTTTCCTAAAGCACCAATTCCTAAAGGTTTACCTGCCAATACCAGTCAGCTATAAAAGGTTCACCAATTAGGGGTGAAATGAAGAAAATAAAGATGATTTTTCATAAAGCTAATTTTACTTTTTAAAATTTAAGATTGTATCTTTCCTAATTTTTTGTATTCAAATACAGCCTTTCTTTTCATAACATGATGATAGTAGAATGTCTAATCCCCATGTTTCCTTCTCCTCTCTTGGTAAAATTAAATGTTAGTAACGCTTGTCAATATTCCAAATATTTTAAAAATGTTACTGCTCAATAAGTTTAGGAAGTCTGTGAGCTACTGTCCTAAGTGGTTCGGCTAAACCTATGCAAACCACTGTAGTCAACTCAAACCATCAAGAGGGCACATGAGTCTAACTAAGCTATTACTCATGGTGTCAGTATCGGTTCACTGTTTGGATATAGCTGAGATTCCTTCTAATCCCACAATGGAACAAACTCTAACCAAAAAAATTTACTAATAGGTAGGAGTACCATAGGCCCATACGTTTAAGTTACTGTAGATATAACAGAGACCTTAGGTCACCCAGAAACATAAAGCTTTAAAAAATGAAAGGA